ATTGCTTGAGCCCAGGAGTTTGAGGTTACTGTGAGCTAGGCTGATGCCACAGCACTCTAGCCCGGACAACAGAGTGAGACTCTGTCTCAAAAATAAATAAATAAATACAATAAAAAAAAAATCCTTTGTCCATTCTATAATTGGGTTGTTATTGTTATGAGTTCCTTACTCTGGATAAAATTACCTTAACAGATATCATTTGCAAATATTTTCTCCCATTCTTGTAGGTTGACTTTTCACTTTTGTCATAGTGTCCTTTGAAGCACAAGTTTTTAATTTTGATGAAGAGGATATCTATTTTTATACATTTGTATTCTTGAAAAGACAAAAGAGGGGCTGAAAGGATGGGGTTCTAGTCTTAGTAACTGTCCAGATTGAAACTAGCGTGGCAGGGCTGACAGGCTGCAGATGACTACAGAATGTGCCTTGTGGCTTCCCAGCTGTGACTTTATTAAATAGTCATTTGTTGAGCACATACCCTATGTAAGGCACTCTGCCAGCTGTGAAAAGACAACGGCATGATGAGCCATACCTTTCAAGGGATTTACGGTGTAGAAAATGGTCACATGCACATGGAGTGACGAACAGGGGCATACCAGGCAGACTTCGGAGCCCGAGCAGCAAGGCAGGGAGGAAAGTGGAGTTCAAAGGATATGCCAAGAGTGGCCAGAGTGAGCTGCAGAAGGGTCCATATAAGAAGGAAGCCTTGAGGCTGGAGGCTGAGTGGGGGATTCATGAGCCAGGACAGAGTTAAGAGGGAATTCTAGGTGAGGAAGGACAGCCCCATGAAGTCAATGAAGCTACCAGGCACACTCCTGATTCACTAGGGCTCATTCATGCTCCTGCAAAACTCACTTAGAACTTCTAATTTTTTTTAGCAGCTGACCCCAGAGAAAAAGGATTCAGCTCAGAGCACTGAGGATGCACATGAGAAGAGCAACCCGGCGCTCCTTGCAGGTAAGGTTTTAGCTTTTCAGGTGAGCCTTGGACTAAAGTTGGAAAAGTAAAAACGACATCAGCTTTCAAACTATTCCACTGCACTCTATACTGCAGCAATGTCCTTCTGCGATTTGGTTGGCTCCTGCTGCCACTGGGAAGCTCTCCGCCACTGGGGGTCTTCCAGGCTGCAGCAGGAATTCCCTCCCCAAAGACGGTATGACATGACTAGAGATTTCTGGTACAGCTCATGCGGTTACAGATAGCTGCACATGATAGGGCAGGTGTGGGTGGAAAAGTAGATTTCTGGGCCATGAATGCGGTAGGTTCCTTCACATCTTCTCTTGATCATTAGTGTTGACACTGCAGCTCCCCGTTTTGGTTACAACTCTGTTTTGTGCTCTGGAGGCTGCTCCTGGGTACGGCACCACCTCAACCTTGATAGGTATCATGGGGAAGTATCAGTGTGTGTGACATGATGCCCATTATACTGAAGTCCGTTCTCCACACGTGCCCCTGCAACACATAAACAGCAGGGTGACAGCAGCTCTCACAGTCACTGGTGAGTACTAGGCCCTATTCTGAGCTTTTAAAATGTATTAATGCTCTTAGTTCCCAAAACAATCCTTTGAGTTATAGGTACTATTATTATTCTCATTTGACAGGGGAGGAAATTGAGGCCCAGGGATGTCAATAAGCTTACCCATGGCCACAAGCCAGGAAACGACAGAGCCAGAATTCAAACCTGGTCTGTCTCTGGAAGAGCCAAATTAGCAGGGATGCCCTTCTATAGGTCCTGAGTCCTTTAGACAAAATAGTATCTGGGCTTGAGGGAAGTTGGGGATTGTGACTTAAGCACTTGTGCTTTGTTGGTACGTCCCTCTTTCCAGGGTCATAAAAACAACATGCTGCATGTTGTTTATGCTTGGGCCTAAGATGTGTTCCTGAATCATTCTGTCAATTGAACCATATTTTAAAAGTTGTGGAGCTGTTGCTACTGAAAAGAATCTTGCAGTGAGGCCTCGTATAAAGCAAAGAATCTATTTTTTAAAATTTAGATTTGGATGTTTTTAAAAATGAAAGTATACCATACCACATAAAAATCAGTCTTTATGCAGTGAGGAGCGACAAGAGTAAGTACCTTCCCTTATAAAGAAGAAAATTAACATTTAATTCAGCACCTTCTGTGGACCCTGGGAGAGGCTGGGCTTTTCCACAGACCTTACCTCATTTAGTCCTTACAGTGACCTTGTGGGGTGGGCAGCACTGATCCTCACAAATGAGACACGCACATTGCGTGGCAGGAGGAGCTGGGTTTCAGCCTGCTGCCTCCACAGCCCATGCTTTCTCCACTGCGCAACGTGAGCCTTAAAATCCTGATGGAACCCCTGGCAGACAGCTTGGGCTGTTCTGCCCTGTAAACCTGCAGTTCTCATTGGCATCCATCTTATGCCCCACATGGGCAGCTCTACTGAAGAAAATCACCAAAACACTGTGTTGATGCCACCGCCCATCTGTGGTCCATTCACTGAAGAGCCTTTGGTTTGCCAGTCCTTTCCCTAGTCTTCCGGGCCCTGTCTCCTCAGTGGCTACTCCATTGTTTTAAAAACCTACCCTGCCTCTGCTCCTGACTTAGCCTCCCACTTCACACTTACTCATCTCTTTTCTCAGTAAACTCACCCAACTTGTACTCCTCCCACTGCAGAACCTTATTAGTGTGGGCATCGGTCCCCTCTAAGGCTTAGGGTAGCATTATTCTTCCTGTTTTCTCTCAGCAAGTCAATTTCCCGTTTCTTTAAAACAAAATCTCCTATGATCTTGAACTTCCTCCATGTATCCTCAATCTCTCTCCATCCTATCTCAGCCAGGCTTCTTAAAAATGCAAGCTGCAGAGCCAGGGGCAGTGGTGCATGCCTGCAGTCCCACGTACTTGGGAGGCTGAGACAGGAGCCTGAGGCAAGAGGACTGCTTGATCCTCGGAGTTGGAGGACACAGTGGGCAATGATAGTGCCACTGCACTCCAGCCTGGGTGACCCCATTAAAAAACAAAACAAAAACAACCGAAGCTGCATGCACCCTGTCTCCGTTTCTTCCTCTCTCATTCTCTCCCTAACCCAGGGCACTTGCTTCCCTGTGGCCTCTGAAACTGCAAAATCTCTCATTAGGGAAGGCCTCTTAATTACCAAATTGTGCATTTATCTTCATTCTGAACTATGTGCAGAATTTGTTAAAGACCAGAACTCACCTAGTTCCTCCCTCTGGTCCTCCGTAACTATTGCTCATCCTGCACTCCTCCCTAGCTGTCTTCCAGCCCAGCTATGGACCGCTGCCTCTGGGCTCAAGATTCCCAAATTGCTAGGACCAGGCGGGGCCTCTCCTGAGTGCCAGACGGGAGATTCATCTGCTCACTAGGCAGCTCTCTGCGGAGGTCTCATGGTTACCTCAACTTCCTCTCTCCCCATACAGTCCCTCTGCACATACACCCCAAAATTGGCTCCTCTTACTTTAGTCTTGGTCATGATTAATAGCACCACTGTCTATCCAGTTTTTCCCATCTGACATGTTGGATTCATTCAAGAGGCCTCTCATTCATGTCCCACATCCACTCGGTCACCAAGGCCTGTTAATTGGGCCTGATGGATACTGTGACTCCTGGTGATGCCTTCACTCTCCTGGGCTCTTGAGGTCTTCCTGCCTCAAGTCTGATGGAAGCCACAACTTTGACAGAATGATCTTTGTAAGATACAAAATTAACACTAATCTCTCTTCAGTGCTTAAAATTCTTCACTGGCCTCCTACTTCCTACAGATAAAACTCTTGTTTCTTAGCCTTCTCTGGTTCCTATTAACCCTTTCAGATTCATCTCCCAGGATCCCCCAACCTTGCCTTTTATGTAGGATGTTGTTTTATGCCTTTATGACTTTGCATAAAGTTTATGTGCATAACTTTCAGCAAAGAATTCCTTTTCTTTCTCTCTTTTTTTTTTATCTGCCAGTTGGAAGACACCTTTGCTTTCTCTTGTCTGGCATGTTTCTCTTCATTCCTCAAAACCCAGCTCGGGTATCTCCTCAGGGAAATCTCTCTTCACCTCCAGAGAAGGTTAACAGCCTCCTTCTCTGTTCTAACCCTGGGCTTTGCACACACGTCCGCACCCCTCCTGGCACCTGTGAGCTTCTCTGAGCTACATTCGCAGGCCCTGCTCAGGAAGAATCTCTCTCTTAACTTGCACAAGTACATCACTTAAGTGTAGGAAAGCTGCCCATGGGCACTGCCCAAAGCAACGCGAGCAACAAAGGGAGAGAGGTGAGGCTGACTTGGGCAGGGGTCCGGGGTGGGGATCACAGGCGGGAGGAAGGCGCTTGGGCAGACTCCAGACAGTGCGTGCGGAACGTGAAGGAGTGGCGTGAGCCCCCAAGTGAGGGCTCGGTGCGATCCCAGATGCCCCTTCCCAAGCTAGGCTGTGGGGGTCAGGGAGGCCCTGAAGCCATTCTGCAGCCTCTCTGCTCCCGAAGGCCCTAGAGCTGCAGGGTTTTGATCCGGACAGGACCTGATGACGGGGGTGCGGACGGAGGAGCCCCTCGGTGCCCTTTCTCCCAGGCTGCCCCCTTCCCCCAAGGGTCTTTCTGGTACCGTGGGACTAAGATGAAGCGGGCTTGTTTTCTCCTAGAGACCAGCGGGCCAGCGGAAAACAAGAGGCTCACGAGGGGCCGCCTCCGCCAGGGCGAGAAGACGCAAGCTCTCCGCCCTGCCAGGGCCCCGAGCCCATCGCAGGCCGCCCCGCGCCGCCCGCAGCCCACCGCGGCCTCCCTCACCCCTAGCGGAGGGGAGGCCGGCGCGACCCACGGCAGGGCCCCAGCGCCGGGCGCCGGTCCCGGGAGCGGCCTGGAGGTAACGCGGCGAGGGCCGGCGGGACAGGGAGGGCGGGCGCCAGGCCGCTGCCGAGGTCCTCACCCCGGCCCCCTTTGCTCCCGCAGGACGCGCTGTGGCTGCAGGAGGTCTCCAACCTGTCCGAGTGGCTGAGTCCCGTCCCTGATCCCTGAGCCGGTCCCCTCCCGCGAGCCCCGCCGCCCCGAGGCTGCGGGCGGCCACTGTAGCGCGTCCTTCAATAAAACTGCTCCGCGCTGTCGCGTGCGCCTGCGTGTCGGGGGCGGGGCGGGGCCGCGCGCCGCCCGACGTCACCCGCGCTTCCGCAGGTTCTACGTCACTGCTGCGCGCCGCGGGAGCGGGCGCGATGGCGGCGCTGGGCGGGGACGGGCTGCGCCTGCTGTCGGTGTCGCGGCCGGAGCGGCAGCCCGAGTCGGCGGCGCTGGGCGGCCCGGGCCCCGGCCTGTGCTGCTGGGTGTCCGTGTTCTCCTGCCTCAGCCTCGCCTGCTCCTACGTGGGCAGCCTCTACGTCTGGAAGAGCGAGCTGCCCAGGTGCGGGGGCTGCGCGCGCGCCGGATCCCGCGCCCCCGAGAGGCGGGGCTGGGGCGGAGCTCGGGCCAGCCGGGGGCGGGGCCTCTCTGACAGGCTGCTGCGGGCCCCCTGAACTTACTGCCCCTCCGTAGGGACCACCCCGCCGTCATCAAGCGGCGCTTCACCAGTGTCCTGGTGGTGTCCAGCCTCTCGCCCCTGTGCGTGCTGCTCTGGAGGGAACTCACGGGCATCCAGGTGCGGAGGAGGCGGGGCAAAGGGCAACTGGAGAGAGCTCGGGGTCTTGGGGGAGGGAGCAAGACTGATGCCTCCTTTCCTGTGGCTCAGCCAGGCACATCCCTGTTCACCCTGATGGGCTTCAGGCTGGAGGGCATTTTCCCGGCAGCACTGCTGCCCCTGCTGCTGACCATGGTGAGTGCTCCCGCTTTGTCCTCCTCTGGTTTTTGTTGTTAGCATCATGCGCTTTGTGTGGCTTTTTTTTCTTATCTTGATGTGTCTGGTTTTCCACTGATGGGAGACAGTGTGATACAGTTCCGGGGCCCTCGAGTATTCTTGGGTTGGAAATCCTCGCCGAGAAAGGAAGCTTGAAGTCTTGCAAGGCTGGCCAAGGTCAAAGGTCTGGCAAGGGCAATGGACTATGATGGAAATCTTTTCTTTGATCTCTCCTGTTTTTCTGACCCCAGATCCTTTTCCTGGGCCCACTGATGCAGCTTTCTATGGATTGTCCCTGTGACCTGGCAGATGGGCTGAAGGTTGTCCTGGGTGAGTCCTTCAAGCTGAGGGGAAAAGTAGGCACAGTCTGGGACAATGGGGAAAGGGAATCAGTGGGCTCATCGTGTAATCTGGACGTGAGACACGAGCTGTCATCTCTGGGTATGTTTCCTCATCAGTCAAATGGGGACATAGAGCCAGGTGGCCTCTAAGAGTTGGTTCTTGATGTCCAAGGTGACCCCTGGAGACCCCTAGCAGTACTTGTTGTGGACCAGAAAGCAATGCCCCCTGCCTCCCCAAACCAGAGCTGGTCTTGGTTAGATTTTGATGTCTCTTTACTACCAGGATACCGTGCCTCGGCTTCTAATGCCATCCTTTCAGTTGTCTTAAGACATTGTTTTGTAGCCAAGTGCAGTGGCTCACATCATTAATTCCAGCAACTTGGGAGGATCACTTAAGGCCAGAAATTCGAGACTGGCCTGGGCAGCATAGCGAGACCCCAGTCTCTTAAAAAAAAAAGTGCTTTATGTTGGGTCTAATGAACAAAGTTCGACTGTCCTCCCACCAACCCCGTTCTCAAGAATATTGATGCCTGAGTTTGCCCAGGGTAAGCTTGTGGGAGAGGGGTCCTTAGGGAGCTGTGTCTCATTGTTCCATAGCTAGTCACTCACTGCTTGTCCTGAATCCCTTTTCCAGCCCCCCGCTCCTGGGCCCGCTGCCTCACAGACATGCGTTGGCTGCGGAACCAAGTGATCGCACCCCTGACAGAGGAGCTGGTGTTCCGGGCCTGCATGTTGCCTATGTTAGCACCGTGCACGGGCCTGGGCCCTGCTGTGTTCACCTGCCCACTCTTCTTTGGAGTGGGTGAGTCTGGCCAACTTGGTCCTGCTAACGTGTTCTCAGCGTGAGAGCTAAGAATGGGGCTGGGGGCGAGGAGTGGGCCTAGAGGGAAGGCCGGGAGGCATGTGATGTGGTTCTCCCTTTCCTCCCAGCCCATTTTCACCACATTATTGAGCAGCTGCGTTTCCGCCAGAGCAGTGTAGGGAGCATCTTCTTGTCTGCAGGTGAGTCCAGGAGAACTTGCCTGGGGCAGTCTTGGGCAAGGGTGTGTGTGGGTGTCTGACGGGCACTCTGGAGAAAGAATTGGGAGCAGAGGGCTGTGGTACTGGAGGGGCCACTGACCATGGGAGTTGGGGTGCAGAGGACAGCTGTAGGTGGTGGGCAGGCAGCCACTGCCCCAGCGGGAAGGGATGGTCTCTGGCTGATGGGTGTGCAGTGCTGGGGCAGGAAGGGCGTGCAGGTGTGGTCACTCGCAGCCTCCCGTCTCCAGCGTTCCAGTTCTCCTACACAGCTGTCTTCGGTGCCTACACTGCTTTCCTCTTCATCCGCACAGGTTGGTCCTCAGTCTCTCACGGGTCCCCGGGGGCTCAGGGGCCCACAGGAGTGGGTGGGAGAATGGGAATACTGTTTGTTCTAGGCGTGACAAGTTCCTCCACCACAGTCCTTGATACAGGCCGAGCCAGGGCCCTCAGCCTGGTGAGGTCTGAGAGGTGGGAAGCAGCAGAGACCATGGTATGTGGGTGGACGGGTGTGGCAGGGTGGGGTGCTGATCTCCTGTTTCAGGGGATGAGGGTTACTTGCCCTGGAAGGGCCTGAGGAGGTGGTAGGGCTGCTCCATGAGCTGCTCTGTCTCCCCTCCCCAGGACACCTGATCGGGCCGGTTCTCTGCCACTCCTTCTGCAATTACATGGGCTTCCCTGCCGTCTGTGCGGCCCTGGAGCACCCGCAGAGGCGGCCCCTGCTGGCAGGCTATGCCCTGGGCGTGGGACTCTTCCTGCTTCTGCTCCAGCCCCTCACGGACCCCAAGCTCTATGGCAGCCTTCCCCTTTGTGTGCTTTTGGAGCGGACAGGAGACTCAAAGGCTCCCCTGTGCTCCTGACCTACGCTCCTGTGTACACTCCTATGAACTCTCACAGGCCCCTCAGCCCCTCCCCATCAAGGGGTACTGCAGGGGAGGGGCTGGCTGGGGTCCCCGAGATCTCAGGAATTTTTGTAGGGGATTGAAGCCAGAGCTAGTTGAATCCCAGGGACCAGAGAAAGGAGCAGATATCCAAAGGGTGCAGCCCCTCTTAAAGGGGATTGAGGAACAGCTTGGAGTGAGGGGACAAGGGGCAGGTCCCAGGAGCCACACATGCCCTTCCTCACTTTGGACTGCTGCTTCTCTTAGCTCCTCTGCCCCCCTCTGCCTCTGAAAAGCTGCTGGGGGTTTTTTATTTATAAAACCCCTCCCCCAACAACTTCCCAGGGTTTTCTCATTGTCTTTTTGCATCAGACTTTGTATTGGGATATTAAAGAGATTTAACTTGGGTAACATGGTCTTGGATCTTTGGGAGTCAGTCTATATTTGGGGTCTTGTGTGAGGACTCCAGGCAGTTCTTGGGATTGTGCCCACCACCTGTCCCGGCTACCTTGAACATGGGTCTCTGGCTGTCATGGGCTTGTGGCTTCCTCCTCCCTGAGCCGGGCTCCAAGTCCTAGCATGGGTGGGTCTGAGACTGCAGGTACCAGGCGTGAGCCCAGTTCATCCTGGGGCCTGTGCCTTGTCTACAGGGCCAGGGAGTGGGAGCCCTGGCCCTGACCCCAGTGGTGGCACCTCCGGCCTGTGTCCTGCCTGAGGCCTCCAGCAGGACCTGCACAGTCCACCAGGCTCATTTTACACAAGAGGAAATAGGTCCAAAACGGGAGAGGAACCTACCCCGAGCGACCCAGGAATAGAGGCTCTTCTGCTTCTCCCCCTCAGACCTCGGCCCCTGGCTGAGCTCAGAGCAGCGCTGGCGGCCCTGAGGGGGGCCCTTTGCCCAGCCATAGGCAGCTCGGGATTCTTGCTTAGAACCTACTAGTCTCATTTTTAGAATGGTTCTCATTCCCCTACCCCGGGCTTAAAAAAAAAATTGATTCTTGAAACAGTTTTATCCTTTTAGGTCCCATTCCAGACTCGAGGAGGAGGTTGCCCCAAGTCCCCTTTCTTGAGGCTGGTGGTTCCTTCTCCACAACGATGCCCCCAGGTTGGCTGTGACTAAACCACATTCACATGGATCGAAAGGGCAGCGTCGCACACCTGCCTCCCTGGAGAGCTTTCCTCTCCCCCAGCCTGTTGGGGGCAGAGGGTACATTTGGGACCTTAGGGTCCAGAGAGGACGAGGCCTGGGCCCGCTGCGACGTGACCACCCCAGAGGCTAGGTACTGGCAGCCCGAGAGCACTGGGCAGGTAGGCTCGCTGGGTGCCAGGGATGTGTGTCCTCCTGGGTCTAGGGGCCTGGGTTCTGTCCCTCCCCTTCCTCAGTCTGGCTTTTCCTCCACCAGCCCCCTGCTAAGGGACCACCTTCTCTGCCTTTCTCCTCTCGCCAGCCACACCTCACCTTGCCTGTGGGGAGGAGGGTAGTGGTATAGGTGGGGTTACTGTCCCTCCCCGCAGGAGAGGGAGCTGAGGCTCAGGATTCTCCCCAGTTGTGGGGAGGGTGAGAACCTGGGACCCTAGATCCGGTGCGCCCTCAAACCTCCCACCAGCACCCTCGCAGCCAGAGTGCTCAGAGTAACTTCGGCCAAGTCACCACTCCCGAGAGTTTCACCCACTGCCCAGAAGGTTCTGTTTGCATTTAGTCCTGAACTAACTGGAGGTGACAGGTTGGCCCCGGGTTTTAGAAAGCTGAGCAGTGTGGCTGGGGAGGGCGTCTGCCTACAGCCTGGGTTTCATCCGTCTCTGCCTCTTAATAGCTGTGGAGTCCTGGACAATTACTTAACCTTCCTGTGACCTGGTTTCTGTGTCCGTGATCCCCTGAGTTAACAGGTGTCACGTACTTAGAACAGCCCCAATCCCCCAAGCAAGCTCAGAGCTAGCTAGTCCTGTTTGGGGTGTATGTACAGTAGGCACCCAATAGTGGCTTAAAACAGGGCCCTGTCATCT